AGGACCTGCCAATGATGGACAGTGTGACTGTCTGACTCACTGACTAGAACTGAGGCCCAGGGATTGTGTCTGCTTCATACCTTGAATCAGGCTAAGTGTCTCCAAAAGTGTCTGCCTATAGTAGGAGCTGAATGCTCATTGTCAAGTGCATCTGAGTGGGCCTGGGGCCCTGCTCTCCCCTGCCATCCCCCATGTGGCTCCACCAAGGACCAGGACAAGGTCAGCGAGGTGACATCTCACACTGCTTGACAGGTTGTTTCCCATGTGCTTTTCCACACTCAGATGCCACAGGCCGCTGATGGGAGAGTCAGGGGACTTTCCATGGGACAGAGAGACATAATTGGCACGAACAACCACAGCTGGTCCAGCAGCCCTTTCTGCAGAGCCGGCGGCAGGTAGGCCCTGCCATGGCTTGTCCCCACAGCAGTGCCCACCAGAGCCCTATGAGGGTGTCATTGTCAAGACCCACAGCCAGCAGTGGGCAGAGCCCCCACCGTGACGAAGAGGGGACCCGTGCTCACCTAGTTAACAGCTCATCCAGGAACCACTGGGCTCTGGAGAAGGCCGGGTGGGTGGGCATCAGGGTGCAGATGTGGGGGATGTTTCCAGCCGGGAAAGCTGGTACCAGGGACCCCTCCACCTTCTCCAACGTGCCTTTCTGCAGGGCTCGCATCCTGAGTGCCTCACATAGTCTCAGAGTGAAATCAGCTGCACACTGGGTGGGGCAAGGAGGGACATCCAGTCAGCGGCATCACCGTGAATCCCAGGAGGATGGAGGTCTGGAGCTCACACAGGAGTCCCAGCCCCTCAGGGACGTGCACAACAGGAGGGACAGGAGGGCCCAGGCTGAATGAGGTTCTAGGTTTTCAAAGTTCCACTTTAGTTCGGTGAATGGGGGATGTTCATACAATTGTGACCTTCTAGGCATGTTTCTTGTTTGCTTGTTTCTTTTAGCTGAGGAACAACAAACCTCCTTGTATTAACAGTTCATATGATGAGCATTGTCCCCATGAGGCCTCAGGAAACATCCACATTATAGAGATGAGAGCACAGAGGCTTACGGATGCCACATGTCTGCTCAAGGGCATGCAGTTCAGAACTGTGCACTGTCCTGAATGACATTCTGTCTCAGCTACCTGAGACTGATCTGCTCCTGACATGGATGGAAGGGGTGTGAGAACCTTGCCCATCGCTGTGTGGGGACAGTGTACACCGTAGACATGGCCTATGAAAACCACTGACCTCAAAAAAGACACTTTTCTTTCATCCTTTTATATTAAAGGGCATTTTAAGACCCTCATTGTGAGGATCCCAGATTCTACAAAGGGTCAAATGCCTGCAGACTCCAGACCAGAGAAAGGTGATCATCAGGCATGAATCTGAGCAGAGGACTCGGGGAGGAGCAAATCCATGTGGTGAGTGTAAAGTGACAGGTGACTCAGTGTCCCTGTGAAGCGATTGCCAATGTAGGAACACTGTGATTGCCTTGGACAGCCTGACATCGGCCAGGTGAAAATTTCAATGAGTGAGATTTCCCGGGCCAGGCTGGGAGCAAGGCAGCCGCCATCATCAGAAACTGCTGTTGGCAAGGTCCCTGCCACAGCCCTTTGGGTTTGGAATCTGCCTGCAGCTGTTACATTTTACAAGTTCAAGTCCTTCCACCAGCAGTGGGCGTCCATCAGCCAGCCGGGGACATTACCTGTACTGTGGTCTGAATCGTGTACCCCTAATCCCATGAATTTGCAACCCCTAGAACTTTATGATGTGTCTGCATTTGAGTTTTAGTCTTCAAGCCAGTCATTCAGGTGACGTGAATTCAGTGGTGTGGGTCTCAATCTAATCTGACCAGTGTCCTTAGAAGAGGAGGGGAGGGCACGTGACAGTGCAGAGGGGAGTCCATGTGACACACAGAGAGAAGCCGGCCATTACAAGCTGAGGAGAGACCCCTCAGGAGAAACCAGCCCCACTGACAGCACCACCTCTCAGTTCTACCTTCCAGAATTGTGAGAAAAGGAATGTCTGCTGTTGACACCACCCAGTGTGGTCCTATATTGTGGCAGCCCAAGCAAGCAACCTAACACAGTCCATTCCGACACACATCAGTGTTCCGGGCAGCACTGCTGACATGGCAGCTGAACTGCATTAGGCCCATGTCCAACGGCACTGAAAGGCTGCATCGCTGGGCAAACGACCTCCGTTATTGGACCAGGTCTGCAAGGACAGTGGAGCTGAGTGCTCCACAGGATCCTGGCAAGAGTAGTTTAATCAACAAAAACTGATAGGCAAATGTGCTCCTGGTCTACTGTGAAGTGAAACAATATTATTTCACCCTAATATTTCCACAAATATGT